ACATTGGTGAATGCCACAAATTCTCCTAAATCACTCGTACGCACAACTTAAGAACAAATCTGTGCGTACGAACGGTTCTTGCATGAGGCCCATTATTACCAAGAGGAAATTTGCTACAGTGCTACACAATCATTTAAAATTATAATTTAACTACTATATGGATTGAAAAAAAATTCCGACCCCTGGTATTTATATGAGGAGGGACTTTGAAATGGTCATTACAAACAAAATATTTTGTTGATGGAAAACAAAAACGCAAATCTGTTCGTTGTAGTCTATTTTAGTAGAGTGGCAATGAAACAAACATTCACATGCATGATGTCATATATGTGTAGCAATATTTATCTTTTCTCCAGCCAATGGTTTTACAATAGACCCCATATTTGAGGAGGGGGCCCCAACTGAAAAGGGACTGTCTGCACATAAAAACATGTTTATAACTCAAAAACTATTCAACATAGGAGCTTCAGGGTATTTTTTTGTCTGTTTAGTGGGGTGGGGGTATCTCTTGATGGGCAGAAAAACACACACAACAAAACCTAGACAGAAATTCCTCAATGTCAACATGAGAAAAAACTGTCTCATCAATTGTGTTTTTAATAATATTTAGTAATAATTTTTAGTAATTGTTGTGGAAGAGCAGCAATTTACCCACCTTTGTTTCAAAAGAAAGAAGGCAACAACATAAATGTGATGAAAGTCGTCTTTAAATGAGAAAGGAGAAGCAGTCTGACACAACCATTCCTTACTTGCTGCTGAAGACGTGTGTGTCGATGTGCGGACTCTGCACATTGAAGATGGCTATGCTGCCGTCACACATCCCTACAGCCAGCTGAGCAGGGCTGCTCGCTGAGAAATCCAGAGAAGTCACAGCGCTGCCACAGTGGATAACACGCTCAGGCCACTGCAGAAGAAACAAACACAACAGTTCAGATACACCCTGACTCATCCACAGCAAGAAGACAATATCTGAAGGTTAGGGTCAAAAACTCCCAGATGAAACCATACCAGGGGGTTTTTGAGGGACCAGCATAACACCAGACCTGGCTTCTTATTGCTGAAGTCAAAGTCCCCAAATCCCACCGCCAAGAGATCCTACAGAAAAAAGAAGAGCAAATGAAGATGAGGCCTCCTCTGTAGAAACAATAAAAACTACAGTGAAACTCTCAGGAAACAATCATGAACAACTGATTAACATTGAAGCCATTCCCAATCTTTCCTCATCACAGGATGGTCTCAGTTCAAATCTGTGGTATGAAAGATGACAGGAAACAAACATTCCTTCAAGGCCTTTTCTGGTTTCTATAGTTCATTGTTGCTCTCTTGTCTTATTACCAGGTTCTTCTTGTTCCAGGCCATGCAGCTGACACGACACCCTCTGCTGAGCTCACTGCTAAAAGCCCAAAGACGCTTCAAGGCAGGAGAGAGGGGAGCCTCTTCCTCCCCTTCATCCTCTTCTCCCTCCTGTTGACACAGCCCGTCTGGATCTGACAAGGTTTAATCAAGTCAAACATTTGGATTGACACAGCTCATTTATAAGCTCTGGTTTGAGTTGCTTCTACGGCGAGACAACAGCCCCCTCCTGTGACGGTGACTGAAATGACCTTTTAGTAGGGGCAGCTGTCTGCAGGTCGACAGCAGAGGTTGGAAACTGTTGCGCAGGATGCTCCTTTCCATCACAAACACAGAGTGATGAAATTTCTCTGACATCATGAGGAGCTGCAGGTCCAGCTGAGCGTCTGAGCTGCTTCCAGAAGCTTCCGCTCCTTTCAGTGAGCTCAACGCAGTGACTTAAGAAACAAATGTGGGAAGAAATGGTTATTAATTGTTGATAAATCGTACATTTCTTTAAAAATCAGGATATAAGCAACCAAACAAAGTGAGGCAGGGTATTTCTTCCACATAATTCTGGTAAATATTTTGATGTTTGTGGGTTTATCCAAGTAGTTCCTGTGCCACCAGTACTTTCCCCTTTGCCAGCTCTTTCCTTCAGTCAGACCTGTCGTCTCACACCTGTTCCTCGTTCTCATCAGTTTCAGCTTTGTTCTTCTAGTCCTTGTTCTGTGTTACCTGTAGTGATGGAGCTGACCAATGAGCTCCTCTCCGCACTTCTGCCTGAGTCCATTACCGCCTCAGGTGAGTCAGTCCTCTTAGTTTCAGGGGTTTCCACTGGATTCAGTGTTTCCTCCTGCTCAGGGTTGTCCAGGTTGAAAACAGTCGTGGCTGTGAACATAAAAACACACACATATATCAAACATTAGAAAACACAACTCCAGATAAAAACAACTCTCTGTCCAAACTGAGCAGTCAGAATGTTTCCATGAGGCTGCTACAGACAGAAACTTTCAATTAGTCAGGTCCTCCAGTTTTACACATCAGCACAGTCCCTCAGGACCGTCTTGCCTCTAACCTGCATCCACCATGACGCGGCTGCTACACTGGACACATTTGTTTTTTGTCAGTCCATTAAATGTCTGAACAGACTTCTCCAAAGATTTATTCTCAGTTTGTTTCCTGCAGACCTCAGCATACCGACTATTTCTCTCTCTGTGGAAACAAGAGGGAAAAGACAGCAGCTTATAAAACCAAGATGAACATCGTTTGAAATATGATCAAATACTAGAGAAGATTAGACTCATTTTTACTGACTTGATGGCTTCTGCATCACCAGCACCTGCTGACACTCTGGTGGTGGGGATGTCCAGCAGGGAAAAGCTGTCTGTCTCAGTTAAAACAACTTGAACAGTCTGTTTCAGCATGTCTTCTGTCACTTCTGTTTTCACCGTCTCTTTGGTTTTTTTCTTTTCTGGCAGGAACATAAAACAAGAAACACTTTTAGGAACACCACATTAGACAGGTTGTAGCTCAGTATCAGTTCAGGGCCTAAGAAAACTTCCCACTTCAACAAGAGAAGCCTGATTCACTTCAAGTTTGTGTTTCTGACCAGAGGCCAGGAGGCCTGAGGATTCTGAGCAGAACTCTAGAGACCGCACTTTTCTGGACATCTTTGATTTTGTTCCTGGAATCCTCTGGAGTCACTTTCTTCTCAACTTCTTCTTTCTTCTCTTCTTGTCATTAAACTTGTCACTGTTACCTTCTTTTTAGTTTGTCAATAACTCCAGTTTCTGGTTGGTACGTGTGTTTGAAGTCCTGAGGATCACTTTGTGTTCTAGAGAAAGTTGATGGTATTAAGAGGCGGTCCATGGGCCAACAGAGGACTCTGTGTGTAGTATTGAGAGTGTTGCTCTGGTCTGTCAAGGCACCGCTCTTGATTTATTGCTCCATCAACAACCCATCCCTCACCTATGGTTCTGAAACATGAAATTATACAGGTAACAGTTTTCTATGGTGTCTAGCTTGGGTCAGTCATTAGGGTGAGGAGTTCGGTCATCCAGGAGGAGCTCAAAGTAGAGCTACATCAAAAGAAATTAGCTAAAGTTGTTCAAGCATCTTATTAGGATGCCTCCTCCACTTTGAGGCATTTTCTGCATGTTCTTTTTGAAAGAGAGCTCAGGAGAAAAACAGAACCTGCTGGAGGAGTTCTATATACTCTTGACTTAGTAACACATTGGAATACCCAGAAAGATTCACTGGGAAGAAGGATGTGTTTCTGTGAGAGGAGAAATCACTTATAGGAAGGCAGCCAAGAATCACCCGGAGACTCAACTCTTTCACTCTAATTTTTATACAACTTTTAACTGTGAGCATGTTGTACATCAACATGTAGGCTCTCAGAGTTTGAGATCTTGTCTAAAGCAGACGCGCCGAAACATTTTCCTTGAAAGAGTCAAAATGAAAGTTGTTCCAAGGGCTGTGGGCCAAATGCAAGAGTATTCACTACCTGGCCAAACAAAAGTCACCTCCTGGATTTAACTAACCGAGTAGGTACGAGCTTCCTGTTGGATGTGATTAACTTTAATCTGGCAACAAGTTATTTAACCCCAACTGGTGCAACAAGTTGCTTCTCGTTTCTTAAACAACCAGGTAGAAAGACGCATCCTGTGGTCGTGGAAAAGATATCAGTCTGTTTGAGAAGGGTCAAATCACTGGCATCAAGCAGAGAAAACCTCTAAGGAGATTGCAGAAACTGGGTTAAGAACTGTCCAACACATTATTAAAAACTGGAAGGATTGTGGACCCACTGTCATGGAGGATGCTCCCATCATGCCTACTGTACAAGCCTGTGGGGGCGGTGCTATGATTTGGGGTTGCTGCAGTTAGTCAGGTAGCTCAGGCAGCAAAGGCTCATTGGACGTTTCATAAATGAAAATTTGAGTATTTTGTGGTCTTATATGTGTGCTTAAATCTAATCTAAATATCTCCTGTAGTTACATGTATTTTATCTTTGATCTTAATATAATTCAAAGATAAATTAGGTACCAAGAGTTAAGTCTATCTGCACTACAGCCCATTTTATAGTTGGACCAATGGTTGGAATGACAAAGTGGAAATATTGTGTTTCTACATTTCTACATAAGACAGGAGATTACAACCTAGCAGTCAGGACAACTGCTGGTGGACCAAGTTAAATGGCTTGGTGGGCTGATTTTGGCCTGCACAGCCCCATTTTGGGCAGCTTTGATCTAGAGCTGTAATGAGACCCATGTGGATGAAATGCTTCAAACATTCCAACCTCTAACATTATGAACATTTTTAACAAGTCTGAAAGTGGATGTTTTTGAAAATAGCCAGTGTTGTGTGAAACAGCATATGGACACATGGACAGCTGCAGTCTACAGATTAATCAACAACATTAACAATGGAGAGCAAAGAGCTGTTAGTGCTGCTCACTCTGACACAGAACCAAACCTAATCATTGGTTTAAACAAACGTACTGACCATGTTAGCTGTAACTGTGTTCATGCTTGAGACTAAAGTGTGTGTCAGAACCATCACAGCTCCACCTGGTGACCAGGCGTGGAACTACAGTCAATTTCAGAACATTTATGTTCACCAGTAAACAGGGTTTTCCTCTCTTTATTTCTGCTGTTTCTCACAACTGAAACAAAGACAACAGTCACATGCTGAGTTCCTAATGGGAGCACGGACACGTGTCCCTTTTGTTTGTCCCACTGAAGCTCTCCAAGAGGGACAAGAAAGAAGTCTCTGAGAAATGAATGTTAAATAAAAGCAGCACATCTCCCTCTCACCTAAGGGGGTCTCCTGTCAGATCTTTAGGAAAAGTCTAGAAGTGAAAAACATCCTACATTCATAAGACTGCAGGAGACAGACTGCTCTGGTGTTTAGATTCTCCTGGCTGTCTGAGGCGGTGAGAGGCTTTCAGAACTGGTTGATTCATCACAAAGAGCTGATTCATTTCATTCTGAAAAAATGGTTTTTGTTCTTTTCTTTCTGAATTTTCTGTATGTTGACCAGCTGCCTCTGCACAGCCACAAATAAACCATTAAATATGGAAAGATAGATGGATGAATGAAGAGAGAACTGCAGGCAGGCAGATGTAGTGACAGATGGATGGCACAGATAAATAAAATTATAATCAGCTGAATGGCTGACACACAACTGAAAGATAATTTAAATAACTTGTTACTTTCAATTAAAATATAAAATGCCAACGTGGTCATTTTTAAAACTTTTTTCTTGTGCATACAATACTTACATTCATTTTATTTTATCTGTGTAGAAATGTTAGAAATATAAATGCAAGTTTGAAGTGTTTTATGTGACAAAAACCCGGAAAGGAAATGGGCTTGTCCCTTTTGAGAAATGTTTCCTCCATCTTACCTTTTACAGAATTTACAATAGACTGGCGGCTGCTGCCAAATTCTGACCTGAAAAACAAAGTCAGAGCACAGTTTTACTAATTATTTGTGAAGTCATCGTCACACTCTCCTTTACCTTTGAATATTTATTTTGTTTTAAATGTTATTTTCCCATCAATTTACTGTCAATAACTCAAGATGAAAATGTAACACCAATCTGTTCCCTGTGTTTTTATGAAGTTGGAATCAGACTAACATGGTTAGTCTTTCTTTCACTCCAGGTAGCCATAAAGGCAAGGCTGTTACTTTATGTCTACCATTGGGGGGGTTATGCTCWAAAACCCTGCATGTCATCTTTAGCAATTATGCTTAAAACATAGATATATGACATTGTAATATTTTTAATCAGGTCAAAGTTACATGATGACAACAAGAGAGTTGCATCTGTCTATTTAACCAGTTAATTTCTATTGCGTTTGAGCAAACAATGTCATTTTATTGGGGGGGTTATTTTGACTGGATCAAATTGTTGTGGGGGTCATAACCCCCCTAACCCCCCTGTAAATTACGCCTATGCATAAAGGTGTCGTGGACTGGTGTGAGATGCATAAACTGCATAATAACACATGGAAACTCTTCAGATGGACTTTTTTATGATTTTTTATTATTATAATAATTTTGCTCTCACTGATGAATACAGAGGATTAAACAGTTTAGGTGGAGAGTTGGAGGCTGGGGGGTCTCACAGTACAGTCAGTTACTTTCAAACAAAATAAATCAAAAAGAAATTTAAACTTCAATTTCTGGCCTTTAAAAGTGACAAGTGCACTTGTAAGCTCTGTGCTGGCTCTGATTTGCTTTAGACGGTTTAATCTAACAGTAGGGGAGACCGGGGCTTGTTGTCACAAGGGTAAGTTGTCACATTGCAATTATCTTCTCCATCAGAGCGCGCAATTAAAAAGTGGAAAACTAGTTTTCTTCCTTTACATGATCAGGTGCTTTAGAAGAAGAGACTAGCACATTGTGAGGTGAGATGAGCACCAATTAAGCTTTGTGCACAACCCAAATTAAAAAAAATATCAACTGAAATATTTCAAAATAAGCTTCTTTTAGATAAAATCCTAACTGATACTTGTGGACTTGTTAGAGGAGATATTAAGTCATACCTCTCATTGTTCAGTTTAAGCTAACTTTGATCTAGAGATAGAATTAGCAAACAAGGTAGTTTGGGGCAACTTGTCTCAGTCATTGACAACTTACCCCAAAATGACAAGCTTCGAAATGGATTTAAATTAACATAAATAATCTGCTTATCAGTAGTTGTCATGATGATATTTTTACTTTATTTTTACAGAAAAGGGGTAGTTTAAAGGAAAGCAGAAAGCAAAGAAGACATGGTCAGGAACTACAAACGAAAAACAGGACGTTACAGTGCAGCACCTGACGTGATGCTGAGGACAGTCAGGCAAGTGACCCTAGCTAATAAATCAATGAGTACAGCAAAGGACTTTAATGTCAACTACAGTACCTTGGCTCGGTACTGCAAGACATTCACCCTGACTAGTGAGGAAATTTATTTGTCAGGTTTTTTTTTTTTTGAGTTTTTATGAATGGATCTTCTAGTTGTTGTTGGAACGAGGTCCACATTTCAGGACTGGTCTAATTTAATAATGAACCAATGTTTTTTTTCAATTGAATCTGGAATTTATTTTGAGCTAAAGAAAGGTAAAACAGGCATTTGAGGCTGAGAGCTATAGTTTAGCCTGTGTGCAAGCAGTTCCTACAGACTTTAATCCAGTTCGTATTGCATAATTTTTATGTTAACATTTGTTCAATGATTTTTTTCAAGCTCAATAAACATTTTCTGTGCCTGACTTCAACTCAAGTTCACTTTCGAGTAAAAAACAGAACAAAAAGATAAAAATTGTATGGGTCTTCTGGACGGGTTTTTCTTTAATGAAACGTTTCGTCTCTCCTCCAAGAGACTTCTTCAGTCTGAGAGTTTCAGGCAAAATTCAGGCTTTTAAGCMCTGCCTCCATGTGACTGATACTCACATCAGATGGCTACCGTTGACACCTAATTAACACCTATTGTTAACAGGGGGTGTTAATTAGGTTGTTTTAGATTGTTAATTAGGTGTCAATGATAGCCATGTGATGTGAGTATCAGTCACATGGAGGCWGKGCTTAAAAGCCTGAATTTTGCCTGAAACTCTCAGACTGAAGAAGTCTCTTGGAGGAGAGACAAAACGTTTCATTAGAGAAGAACCCGTCCAGAAGACCTATACAATTTTTTTCTTTTTGATTTTTTACCTGGATTACTGAGATGCATCAGGACAAAAAACAGAACAATAATTTTGTCCTTGGTCTATTAGTTGCAAAATCCAGTGTGACATCTTACCCCATATAGGCAACTTACCCTATGGTGGGGCAACATGTCACCTGTTCACTCTCTCTATTTGATTGCTCATAACTTTGCACTGATGCAAGATGTGAAAATGACAAGAATACAAAAAAAAAAAAATGCCCAAGACTTCGATCTTTCATCTGGTACACATTTCTTTTTCACATGATGTTTTGCTTCCAAGAAACATATAAAAGTGTAAAAAGAGTGACAACAAGCCCCGGTCTCCCCTAGTTTCCTTTCATTGGAGGGAAAGTAGCCATCTCAGACCGCTTCAGTGCAGCTCCAGTAAGCTGACAGTAAAATGTTGTGGTACCTGAACGAAGACCCAGTGAAGCTCCCGGTGGCTGCAGTGTGGTCAGCAAAGCTTTCATCAAGCAGGAGCCTGCTGACTGTGGTCTGTGACCCTGGATCTGGCTGGTACAGTGGCCGTGGAGTTACATCATTGGCCTCCTCATCAAACACCTGCATACAGGTGAACATCCAGCCCAGGTACTTCATTAAGTACACTGACTGTTTCAAATTCTGCTTTGAAAAAACAGAACCAACATAAATACAACATGTGGGTTGTTTTAACTGCTTTTAATCAATCATTTTCTACAAAACATGTATTTCCTGCATCTCTCATAAACCTTTGGTGTTCATTTCATTCAGTTTTAGGTTGTTTCCATTTATCTCAACTGTTTTTCAGACTCACACCAGATCCTCAGACATATTTTCACACAGTTTCACTGCAACAACATGTCTGTTTGTGTGGGACTGCACACAGAGAATAACTGAACAACAGGAAATATAAACTCAGTTTGACTTAAACAAGAAGAGAAACTAACGCTCTCAGACTCACTGTTTTCTTTGCAGAAACATTCAGTTCCACCTCGTCACTCATCAACACAAACAGGCAGTAACTCATCAACAGGTTACACTGCAGTCTTTTCTTTTAAAGAATAAATCCTTATCTCTGAGTGTTTTACTGTGACATTTAATTTATAAAGATCCTCACTTGGTCCTATGCAGGAAGAACTTTAGATATTTATAAAAAATAAAGATGCCTTGTTATCAACAAATGTCACTGCTGTCTTGTTTAACTGTTTTAAAAAACAACAACTTTTGGTTGAATTTTTAGTCTTTTTTTCCTGCAGCAGGCTGTTTAGTTTTTTACATTTTTAAAAATATATTTTAACATGGATGGAGCCATTTTATTTACA